AGAGCTGCAGCAGCGTGGTCAGCTTCGTCTATGTTACGTGGCCACTGAGGCCAACACTGCTGATGTGTTCACCAAGGCGCTTCAGCCTTGTAACCATCAGCGCTTCTGTACTCTTCTAGGCCTTGTGCCTGCTGGACCTCACTTGCTTACTTCTTGACTCTGCTTGTACTGTGATCTCTATATATATACTTGCATGCTTACACTTGCTAGGTTGTGATCACTGTACCTCTTGTTATATTATCAAACTGCATGTGAACTGGTCTTGTGACCGCTTGCTTGTGCTCGGAATTTGTGTGGTATCCTTGAGATCCACCCTGAGCTTGTCTTGCTTTGCTTTGCTCTGACTGGTCTTGTGACCCTCTGGTTATCTCCCACTTCGCCTATGGGGGTGTGTCAAACATTGTATGTTTATATTGTGTAGGCTTTAGTGGGTTTAGCCTTAGAGGGTACACAAACTTAGGGTTTCCCACTTGTACCCAACTTCCTGCTAGTTCTTTCATTCCTGTTCCTTTCATTTCGACACCACCCAGTCTGAGCACAAGCAAGCGGCCACAAGGCCAGTTCACATGCAGAGTAATAAAATCACAAGCAGTACAGTGATCTCAACTAGGGCTGACGTTTCAATTTAGGCCTCCCTGAATCCGGGGAATTCCCCCCCCCCCCCTATATTATGGGTGCATATTCTTCAATAAGACATAACCTTGATTCAGGGCCTCAGATTCGATTTTGGCCTGTCTGATTCGTCAGACTTGACTACAGTTTTAGTTTGAAAATCTCAGAGTTGGTATTTAAAAAAAGCTGAAATATTAGAGTCTGAACATTTAGAATCAACCTTACTGAGAAGTCTGATCTGTTTGTAATTCTGTTGGCCTTCGTTGAGCTACATTAGATTGGCCTACAAAGTACAAGCACCCTAACTACAACATTAGACCAGCCGACATTAGACAACCTTACTACTAATTCTACATCCTACCTATCTAAGTTATCATAATCATCATATCCATCATCATCATCATCATCATCACTGTCAGATGCATCATTCTCCTCTCCTATGTCTTCAACTTCCATCACTTCATCTGCCTCCTTCTGTTGCTTTCCTGCAAAAGGGAGTGGAGCGTTGCTGTGGGGCTTGCGCTTCTTGTAGCTTCTCCACACGGTTACGATCTTCTCCCACTTGTATTCGTAATCCATGAGACTCATGCACATGAGGTCTCCAAGGCAGCGAGTCTCTCTGCCACGACTTGATAATGTTATGCCTGGAGAACCCCTGACCGCACTCCACGATGCCCAGCGGCAGTACAGCTACCGCCACCCACAACAGCACGAGGCTGGGGTAGTTAGCCCGCCAGTCAGGTGTCTTGAGCATGGCTGTGAGCCCCGTGTGGAAGCTGCGCTCGCCCTTGGTAGATGCTGCAAGCACCGAGGTGAACATGCGCTGCTCCTTCTGTGCACGGCGCTTGTTAACTCCTGGCGGGGTAGGGAAAAGGATAACAAAAGAACAAAATGAGAAAACAAATACATACACTGAAGCGTCGCACATAATACAAACAGAGCAACGCTGCAGTATGATATAAGAACCACTCAATAGACTCACCTGGCAAAATCTCTTCCGTCAGCTCGGCCTTGAACAAAGTCACAAGCGACTGTAGCCAATGAAGGCACGTGCAGTTCCTCCTCCTCGATCTAGTGGGTACTCATCTGGGATGAACAGTTTTGCCCTAGACACCCCATCCAGGTCACCAAGCCGATGCTCAGTCGGTGAACGATCACCTCCGCGAACTCCGTGCAGACCTCCATGCAGCCATCGTGGGTCCCGGGCCCATCAAACTCCTCCAACTCGTCCTCATGCAGCCTGAAGGTGAAGCGTGCAGGACGGCCGTCCGACTCAACCCCTTCGACTTTCACCTCCTGGCTTCCTCCTGGCCCATGGCGCGCGATGAAGGGGGACAGCAGCTCGCTCACACCGCCATCGAAGTCGTCGCCGCAATCAACGTAGCGGCTCTCGATGTGGGACGTTGTGAGCTTGATCTGCGCATGCACGCTAGCATAGTCAAGCTGGACAGAAACAGGAAGGAAGGTGGTTTGTGGCTGGTGACGGTTAACATGCAGGATTATAGCAGAATGCCCACTGTGACAAAACAATAATGACGGGAAACTATGAGCCATCTCACCTCCTTGTGCTGGAACGCTTCAGGATGTTGAGCTGCTGAAGCACATCAGCAATAAAGAAAAGAAGGAAATGAAACCTGTAACTCGTCACGAGAGCATTCAGCTTCACGTCCCACTCCTTCAGCATCACGATGAGAGCCGGAAGCACAGCGACAAGCCTGAGCACTACGTCGCCCCAAGAAAGCCAACGAACGACATGAATGCCCTGAAGCTCAAGAGAAGTGGACGCGAAAACTTCCTGGAGCCCCATGAACCGTTGGTGCCATGGCCCCGAACGACCGAGATGCTCTGCCACGGTGCTCTTCATGAAGAGGATCAAGTGCTTCCTGCTGCACCTATCCGTGCTCGCGTCAATCGCGATGCCGACGAAGGGTGATGCCAGCACGTGTTCTAGCTGGGTTGTCTGGAGCCATGTCGCAGTCGCTTGAGTCAGCTCACTGCACATGGAAACAATAGTGAGCACATTATTGTAGGGATAAAACTTTGAAACACCGATGTATATTAAATAGCTTCCAGCAGTTGCACTCACGTGGTGTAGTAGGTGCCGTACCCCTTCTTTGGGAAGCCAGGCACGCCCTTCTTTGCCAGGTAACGCACCAGCTTCAACCACATCCCTATGGGCGCGTCGGACCTACTGATGAACAGCAACGAGTCGAGAAGGGCGACGACACGTTGCTGCTCTCCGTCCACCGTGGTGCGATGTTGGTCGATCTGTAGCTGCCTCGCACCGCACTCCTGCACAGCTGTGAGTCTCGCCATCGCCAGCTTGTGCTTCGCCGTGCCAGCGTGCTTACGAAACGACTGGGTCTGCAAGTCCGTGGCGCCTTTTCCGCGCCTCCCGCACTTGCCTCCGTCGCCAGCATGAGCTGCACAAACAGTACACTTAAAGGCAGGCAACCCCGAGGTGGTTTTAGTGATTTGAAGCCAGGAGAAACGTGTTTGCCAATGACTCTTGAACTTGTCAATTGCATCATCGTAGAGTCCTTCAATGAGCTCGGCCAGGTTTATGGTGAGGCGAGGACGCGGACGCTCAGACGAGCCGGAAGAGTTGTTGATGTCAGCAGACGAGGATGAAGGCTTTGCGAAGCTCAAGGTCGCCTGCTTGAGCCGGATGGTTCGCGCCGTGGTCTGAGTGGGATGGTGCGAGGCCGAAGCGAAAGTTGGTTCCGCATCTGTCTCTGCCACAGGGTCGGGATTTGAGATAACGGGTGCTGAAGGTTCCTTCTGGGTGGGGATAGTATCGGGCTCGGTGCGTGCTGCCTTCTCGAGTGCTAGATGACTGAGCAAAAAAACTAAGCCTGTTAAGGCAGGTTGTGAATCAGGATCGTCATCGCTAAAGGCGGGATTGTCGGGCTGAGCCATGGCGGGGATCTGAGAGAGCCTGCCGAGCAGGAACGAGAGGTGGTTTTGAGGCTGCTGAAATGGGCACTAGATGGTCCCAGTGAGTTGAAGCTGAGCTGAAGGGTGTGGATAAAACCCTAGCTCGTAGAGGAAGCCCCTCTAACCCACTATGGGCCATCCATGAGTTGGGTGGGTGGTTGCCTGGCATGCACGGCAACGACGAGGCGCGTCTGCCATGCAATGCTGTGAGGAATGTTTCGTGCGTGTATGTTGCAGCATCGTGGTACACGAATTGGTGGAGTAAGGACCAATCAATGCTCAGGGTGTGTGCCAACAGGTCTTGTTGGCACCGTCTGCTTGCCATCACCTTAACGTGGGTGGCAACTGCAGCAACATCTTGGACAATGGTGGTGGTGTAGTTCGTAATGGCAGACAAAAGCTGCCAAACGGACCAATCAGTGCTCTAACAGGGTGTGAGCTGGAGCTTACACCGAGGGAAACATCGCGCCGCAAGGCGGCATCGCCCACAGAACTACGGTAGACAGTTGTCACAGATTTCGCGTGATTGACGGTACAGATACAATGTACCACCACTAATCTTGGGTGTCGACGCACAGGAACATTCAATCACAGTCGGTACTCGTTTGTACTCTGAATGTTCTGAGTACTCTCCCAAAATCCTAAGAAATTCCTTAGTCTATAAAAAAATCTGTTTTGTACAGAGTTGAAAAATCTGGCCATAAAAAATACGAATTTTGCAGAGTACACCCTAAAAAAATTCTGAATTATCAGACCTATTCATGCATATCAGAGAAATTTCTCTGACTTCTGAGGGTTCAGGGTCACTCACACTCTGGCTGTACTGCGAACAATCCGAAGGCTGGGTTATCGAAAGGAAATTTGAGAAACTTCCTCTCGATTAGGTCAAATTCGGGGTCCACAGAGTCCATATTCAGGCAGGGTCCTCTAATAGAATAGTCTGTTACACTATACTCCGGATATGAAATATATTACTCTGATTGGATCTGGGTTGAGTTAACAACTCATTAATTCTGAAATTTCAGTCTCCATAAAGTGGAAAGCCTGAAATCGCCCTGAAATCAGGGTAACTACCCTTATAAAAACAGCCCTTCACAACCTAGCAACAGCAACCATGCAGAAAATGGGGAGCAGCTGCATTGCCATTTTCTGTTTTCGCTATAAATGATAATCATGCCTACGCTCACATTTGCTAGTGCAATCCTCGCTACCTCGATACATTCCACCGGTAAGGTAACACAATTGAGTCCGCAACGCAGTTCTGTTCTCATTAGTATTATTATCGCTACGTGCTGTTGTCAATGCATCAACCTCATGAATGGTACGCTCGGAAAACTAGAGAAACCAGTTTTGACACTAGTTCTGTACATTTTCTTAGTGTACTGGGGGCCCTTATGGTAGCTGATGTCATTGTTGCGTCTGTTGATGTTCTCATCCGAGTGTAACAATAGTCATAGAACCTCATGAGCCTTGCCGTAATATCGGTTGATGTAGTTGGCCTGCAGATGGATGAAATATGTGGGAGCAATGAAGCAGCCATTACGTAAACACAAAGGAGAAAGGAGTGGGGGAGAGTTTAAGAGGATGATAAGGAAGCAGATGTTGAGAAAATTTGAGCATGCAGAGCAGATGGTGATACTTGTTGGGTGGGAGTGGAAACCACAACCCACATTTCAACACAAGCCGTTTCAAATCGAACCACAGGTCGAACATCACCAACATAATGAGCTTTTAGAAGAAACATGGTGGACTCGACATTATCAGAAAACAAAGACCACATAATGTAGACAAGCCACATGGACAGATATATGCAGTACCTTAAACTCGGAAATGTCGGGTGTGTCTTCGCTGTGCTTGGGGTAGAACTTGAGGAACCTGAGGTTCTTGAGTGCCTCCAGGCGCTCCTCTCCCATGTCCTCTATCGCCTTCTTGCGCTCCTCCCGCTCCTGATGCCACATGCGTTGCACCAAGTGGTGCAGAAATGAAGTGGAGCAAGTTTTTGGAGAAACGAAGTGGAGTGTGTTGCGTGAGTTGAATGCGGGTTGCGCCACAGAAAAGGGGCAAGGAAGTCAATGGATGACCAGGAACGCCATCATCCCGGCAGGCATTCAAAAAGACATGGAAGAACCAGGCGAGCAAAACTATGGACGCCAAGTCATACCAAAGGACTGACACACAGCATCGCAATGATTGCCTCCTTTGTCATCCCGTTCAGAACCACCAAATGCAACACGGAAGTGTTTCGCATAAGCTAACCGTACATCTCATTATCGACGCTCATCTATTACTAGTCAATTCAGTTGAACATGTCATCTTCATTCTTTGCACACATCTTGTGTTTCTCACCTTCTTTGCCTTGAGCTTGGCCTCTTTCACCTCTTTCTTCACATACTCCTGCATAGGTGCACCCACAGTTGAAAGAGACCGGGAAGTAAGAATAAGAATCACTTCAAGAACAGTATATTCGCCTCGTTCACCTCCGCTCAAATTCTCCTGCACAGAAGGACCAACAGTTGGAAACGACATGGGAGAAAGCGGATGGGTTTTCTTGGCCTGAACATGGCAGACTGGTGCACGGGCATGTGGACATGCTGAATGCATGGTATGATACCGTCCCGTACCATATGGTACGGTACGGTACGGTACGGTGCGGTAAGGAATGGTAAGGTAAGGTAAGGTAAGGTAAGGTAAGGTAAGGTATGGTATGGTATGGTATGGTATGGTATGGTATGGTATGGTATGGTATGGTATGGTATGGTATGGTATGGTATGTTATGGTATGGTATGGTGTGGTGTAGTGTGGTACGGTACGGTACGGAAGGGTACGGTACGGTACGGTATGGTATGCACAGTGGCGGAAGCACTGACAATGAACTTGGGCTTCTCCGCTTCTGGTAGTGACTCGTCCTTGACCAGGTTGTCTGTGAACTCCTGTGTGGCACCACACGACGTATCCATGTGGAGAGAGGAGGGAGGAGGGAGGAGGGAGGAGGGAGGAGGGAGGAGGGAGGAGGGAGGAGGGAGGAGAGAGGAGGGAGGAGGGAGGAGAGAGGAGAGAGGAGAGAGGAGAGAGGAGGGAGGAGGGAGGAGTGAGGAGAGAGGAGAGAGGAGAGAGGAGAGAGGAGAGAGGAGAGGGGAGAGGGGAGAGGGGAGGGAGGAGGGAGGAGGGAGGAGGGAGGAGGGAGGAGGGAGGAGGGAGGAGGGAGGAGGGAGGAGGGAGGAGGGAGGAGGGAGGAGGGAGGAGGGAGGAGGGAGGAGGGAGGAGGGAGGAGGGAGGAGGGAGGAGGGAGGAGGGAGGAGAGAGGAGGGAGGAGGGAGGAGTGAGGAGAGAGGAGAGAGGAGAGAGGAGAGAGGAGAGAGGAGAGAGGAGAGGGAGAGGGAGAGGGGAGAGGGGAGAGGGAGGAGGGAGGAGGGAGGAGGGAGGAGGGAGGAGGGAGGAGGGAGGAGGGAGGAGGGAGGAGGGAGGAGAGAGGAGGGAGGAGGGAGGAGGGAGGAGGGAGGAGGGAGGAGGGAGGAGAGAGGAGGGAGGAGGGAGGAGTGAGGAGAGAGGAGAGAGGAGAGAGGAGAGAGGAGAGAGGAGAGGGGAGAGGGGAGAGGGGAGAGGGGAGGGAGGAGGTTGATGACTGTGCTGGTCTTCCACACCACACCACCCAAGGTCAACACCACCCTCAGCACCGAGGTCAGTCTTACATACACTCCCACTCTCACACCCACCCACCCACACACGAACCCATCCATCCCCCCCCACGCACACACCAACACCCCCCCTTCCCCCCCCTTCCCCCCCAACACACAGGCACAGGCACAGGCAGAGGCACAAGCACAGAGACGCGCTCACCTCGTACTCGTCCATCTCCCAGTCATACTCCGCCAGCAGCTGCCAGCGAGGGGAGAGTGTGTGTGCCACAGGGAGTGTAAGAAAGTGTGTGCGGAAGGGCATTTCCGGGAGTGTGAGAGACAGTGTGCAAGACAGGGCAATGCGGGGAGGCGGGGGGGAGGGGAGAGAGAGACGATGATGATGGAGAGCAGCAGGTGGTGGATTGGTGAGAGGGAGGAACACTAGAGAGGGAGGAACACAAGAGAGGGAGAAACACAAGAGAGGGAGAAACACAAGAGAGGGAGAAACACAAGAAAGGGAGAAACGTACAAAAAAGGCGAGTCATTAGTGCAGAGCCAAAAAGCTCACCCAGTAATCTCAGAAGAGGAGCAGAACAGGCTCGCTCACAAATAAAAGCTAACGAGGAGGGAGGTGGTTACCGGGGGAGGTGGTTACTGGGGGAGGTAATTACCGGGGGAGGTGATTACTGGGGGAGGTAATTACCGGGGGAGGTGGTTACCGGGGGAGGTGGTTACCGGGGGAGGAGGGTTGTCTCCTTCGAAGGGGTACATGATGGACACGACGGTGTCCACCTCCTGCTCCTCCTGCATGTGCGGCAGGAAGATGTCTGATGGGGTCGCGCGGGGAGGGGAGGAAGTGGGGGAGAGAGAGGGAGGAGGGAATATTTTAAAAATTGGGACGACTGTGTCCGTCTTCTGCTCCTGCAGCATGTGCGGCAGGACGATGTCTGATGGGGAATGGAGGAAAAGGGAAAGGGTGGGAGGGAGAGGGGAAGGGGGAGGTGGGAGAGCATGCAGTGCAGACGTAGATGACTGAGTCCTCCTCCTGCATGTGCGGTAGGAAGGTGCCTAATGGGGAGAGGGTGAGGGCCTAAGAAGTCTAAGGGCAGGTCTAGCAACACGTTGTAACCATGTGGTAACCAGGTGACCATCATGCACGCACGTACATGGTAAGCAGTACTCAAACTTCTTCACCCGTTCTTGCTTCATCTGCCTCAAACCCGCCCTGCAGCACACAGCACGCAGAGCAGACAGAGAGAGTGCAAGAGTTGCTAAGGGAAGAGAGGTGGAGTACAGTACTTGTACGGCAGTGCTTGTACGGCAGTGCTTGTACGGCAGTGCTTGTACGGCAGTGCTTGTACGGCAGCGAGTGGAACTTTATTCTTCTGGTGGAGAGGTGGATCTGGTTAGAAGCACGCTCTTGGGCTTGTGTGCCAGCTTGAGAACGAGATTAACAGGAGATGAACGGGGAGAGAGCAGTGCCACATGCGCTAGTCAAGATGAACGGGGAGAGAGCAGTGCCACATGCGCTAGTCAAGATGAACGGGGAGAGAGCAGTGCCACATGCGCTAGTCAAGATGAGGGGGACGGGAGCAGGAAAGGATACAACTTGGAGGGGATCACAACGCGCTCGGGTAAAGAAGGAAAGCAGTTGCTCAATTTAGTTGAATGCACGCAAGAGGTAAGAGAGCTCACCCTCGTTGAGAGAACTTGCAAGTGAGGAAATCCCGTTGGTTGGGAGCAGTTGAAAGTGAAGAGACCTTACCTTCGTTGTATGCACTTGAGAGTGAATATATTCGACCGATGCCGCCTCAGATCAGAACCTCGGCTGCAACATAGATGGCACACGGAATGGCACATGGCATGGGACATTAGATGGGTGGCACGTGGGATGGGACATTAGATGGATGGCACGTGGGATGGGACATTAGATGGATGGCACGTGGGATGGGACATTAGATGGATGGCACGTGGGATGGGACAATGGATGGCATGTGGGATGGGACAACGGTCGGAGCCACCCCTCTCTCCGTCTATTCCTCTTCTCCCCTCCCTCCACCCCCTCTCCCCTCCTCCACCCCTCTCCCCTCCTCCACCCCCTCTCCCCTCCCTCCACCCCCTCTCCCCTCCCTCCACCCCCTCTCCCCTCCCCTTCACTCTTCTCCAGCTCCACCCCCCTTCCCCCTTACTCTTCACGACCTCCTCGCGTCCGCACTTCTCTCTCCTCCGCACTCGCCCCCATCACTCACCGATTACCGGAGAAGAGAAAGACCCGGTCCATCTTCCTCCACTGCATCACCACCATCTCTTCGCTCTCAACATCCTACCGCCCTTCCCCCTCGCTCTTTCCTGCGCTCGCCCATTGCCCTTCCCCCTCGCTCTTTCCTGCGCTCGCCCGTTGCCCTTCCCCCTCGCTCTTTCCTGCGCACGCCCATTGCCCTTCCCCCTCGCTCTTTCCTGCGCTCGCCCATTGCCCTTCCCCCTCGCTCTTTCCTGCGCTCGCCCATTGCCCTTCCCCCTCGCTCTTTCCTGCGCTCGCCCATTGCCCTTCCCCCTCGCTCTTTCCTGCGCTCGCCCATTGCCCTTCCCCCTCGCTCTTTCCTGCGCTCGCCCATTGCCCTTCCCCCTCGCTCTTTCCTGCGCTCGCCCATTGCCCTTCCCCCTCGCTCTTTCCTGCGCTCGCCAATTGCCCTTCCCCCTCGCTCTTTCCTGCGCTCGCCCATTGCCCTTCCCCCTCGCTCTTTCCTGCGCTCGCCCATTGCCCTTCCCCCTCGCTCTTTCCTGCGCTCGCCCATTGCCCTTCCCCCTCGCTCTTTCCTGCGCTCGCCCATTGCCCTCCACCCGATAAGCTAACGCTCAGCCACATATAGGGACACAGTCCATCTTCATCTCTATATGGGGTGATGCATAATCACCTCCACCCTACCCTCCTCTCTCCTCGCTCGCTGCTCGCCTCTCTCCTTCGCCCATCATGTGACCACCCGTCCCCGCTGTGAGCACACGCACCCAGTGGAGTCGGGTATGTAGGGGATCCAGTCCATCTTCATCTCCCTCATCGGCACGATCATCTCTGTCTCCATCTGCACAGATTTGATTCCCAGCTTGTCTGACGGGGCGAACGGTGACAGCACCTGGTGGGGAGCAGCGGGGAGCAGTGGGGAGCGGTGAAAAGAGGTGAGATAAGCGGTAGGCAGGATCGTTTCTGTCTCATCTGCACTGGCTTGATGCCCAGCTTGTCTGACGGGGCGAATGGTGACAGCACCTGGTGGGGAGCGGTTGGGACCTGCGGAGAGCGGTGAAAAGAGGTGGGATGTTGTGGATAAGCAGTAAGCACAATCATTAGTTTTTATTTGCCCTAACTCGATACCCAGCTTGACGGTGGGAACGCCTGGTGGGAAGCGATTGGGAGTAGTGGAGAGGGGTGGAAAATATCTGAAGCAGTCAAGAAGCAGTAAGCAGCAAGCAACACCTCTGTCTCTATATGCACCGACTAGACACGTAGCTTGGTGCGGTACGACATACGAGAAAATAAGGAGAGGGTACGGAGGTGGGGTACGAAGGAAAGAGAGGGGTAGGAGGTATGGTAGCAGGGAAAGGAAGAGCGGGGGAGGGGAAAAGGGGGGGCAAGGGTTTGACATGTGTGCATACGTACAGGCATGCACGCATTGTTGGCCCGGAAATCATGAAAACATAACCCCTTCAAATGTACAACAACACGAAACGCTGAATGAACGGGAAACCTTGAACCCTACACCCAAGCCCAACGGTGTACCCAGAACCCTGAACCCTATCACAAACCCCAACTCTCAACGTTAAGGCAGCACGTACCGCCACGACTGCTGGCACGTACCGCCACGACTGCTGGCACGTACCGCCACGACTGCTGGCACGTGCACCACCCTGTCCTTGCCCTTCCAGTGCATCTTGATTGCCCCCATGGCACTTTCATATGCTCATACGACCATGATGCATGCATGCACGTACCGCCACGACTGCTGGCACGTGCACCACCTTGTCCTTGCCCTTCCAGTGCACCAGCTGCGCTGCAGTGGGCCACAGGGCATCACGCACGGTATGGGGATGGCGGCGAAAAAAGCAGTTTTTGAGTCGAGGCAGTGGGATGGTTGATGGATGAGGACAGGTTTGGTTGATGGATGAGGACAGGTTTGGTTGATGGATGAGGACAGGTTTGGTTGATGGATGAGGACAGGTTTGGTTGATGGATGAGGACAGGTTTGGTTGATGGATGAGGACAGGTTCGGTTGATGGATGAGGACAGGTTTGGTTAATGGATGAGGACAGGTTTGGTTGATGGATGAGGACAGGTTTGGTTAATGGATGAGGACAGGTTTGGTTGATGGATGAGGACAGGTTTGGTTGATGGATGAGGACAGGTTTGGTTAATGGATGAGGACAGGTTTGGAGGATGGACTGCGTGAGGAAAGAGGCTTCACGGAAAGCTGCCCGGAAGATTCATGAGGAGGAAAATCTTTGTAAAAAACATCAGACGGGGCATGTGAAACATAGGAGGTTAGCTTAAAAAAAAAAGGGGAATCCAGGATTATGGGGTCCAGCTATGGTGTTCTTTCTTTGCTATTGATTCCATCCACTTTTAAGACGTTTCAAGGGAAGGAAGGGCACGTCCAGGAATGGCACGTCCAGGAATGGCACGTCCAGGAATGGCACGTCCAGGAATGGCACACCCAGAATCTCGGGTTCCCAAATACACTCTCTTTTCTTTCCTTCATTCTTCTCCGTCCGCACCATTCTGGGCGATTCAATGATCGTACTGCTGCGAGCGTTTCATCCCACATGATTCCCTAAGAGTTTCAACTCACGTTCTGTGCATCCAAAGAGGTATACCCTCTTGTCGTGCAGCGGCCCTCCCTCGTCAAACGCCTCCTGAGCCACGGAGAAGGTTCACCCAAGCAAGGGGAGGGATAGGCAGAGGGGGAAGACAGGGAGAGGGGGGGTTACTGAGAAACATATCAAAAGCGACTCCAAATTGGTGTGCAGCAGCTCTTGCTCCGTAGTCAAATAGAGAGGGCTGCTATTGCTTCCCAGGAATATGAGCCTCAACCTTCCCACTCAGGCTTGTGGCCAGAAGCTGGCACCAAGACTGAGGTGCGCGAGAGGGTGTGCTTCTTGAGAGAGCGAGGTGCAATGTGCTTACATCGAGGTTTGAGAAGTCCCACTCGATCTCGTACACTTTGTCGTATTGGTCCCACTGCCAGAGAGAGTGCAGCAACACGAGGGGATGGGGAAGGCATGGGGGAGGGGAAGAGGAGAGGGAGGTAAGAATGTGATGGAGGATAGCGGTTAGAAGAAGCACATAGGCTGCTAAGGGCGCACAGAATGACCTAGAAAATACCTCATGATCGGAGGTAGAAAAGCCACTTAACCGGGTACATTGTGAACATGATCTATATCTAAGTTTCACGAGCTACTTTGAAGCTGGGACATTTTGCATCTCGAACAAGAGGAACTGTCCAAAGATTGCTTCAGCCTTCCGAAGAACCTTCGCAGAAAAATAAACGATAGAAATAAAGTGGACGGTGTGCTGAGGTACATCAGTCGGAATAATTACCTCCGTGCCGACGGGAAATGCTTCCTTCCAAATATCTTCCTGAAAGGCGGTAAGACGACGGCAGGGATCAGCTACTATTAAGAAACGGGGAATTAGAGACACAGGCAGTGGCAACCGCGTGGATCGGTGGGCAGATGCATGAAACCAAAACTCATCGCACGACCGAAATCGCAAGACCAGCGGTGGGCGAGAGAAAGAGCGACTGCGAAAACGAAGGATCATATCATTCTCGCGGTAATGCGAGTTCGTCTAGACCACGGAGAGCTCACCATCTCTGCCATTGCTGCAGATCCGGTGCACGATCACTCGCCCGAGCTGAACAACGGGTTTGCGGGAACGTCGAAATGTGAACGCGAAATGTCGCTCAATCGCACAATAATAAAACTGGATATGATTAACAACGAGCTCGTTATAACCGAGGGTACTGAGAGAGTACCACAGTCATACAATGAAAAGACGAAGAACTACAGATATGTCAGATCCAGACCACAATTCTGAAAGCAGACCAGGAGGAGTGGAGATGTGGGGTGAAGTGAACGACCACCGTGTGGGCTCAGGCTGCTAGGGTTGCTTACCCTGCTGCAGCGCAGCAGACGAGCAGCCTTGAATGAAAAGTTCACAACTCGAGTTTTGGCGGGAAACTGAAGGGTTGAAGGTGGGAGTGTCAGAAGATATACTCTTTGAGTTCGCAGCTGTTACACTTTCGAACGCGATTACGAGTGACCAGCAAGGGTGCACTTTGGGGGGGGGTGGACCCCAAAGGTTTATCACTTGGGTTGGCTGGTTACCTGGTTTGGTGTTGGGAGTACACCCAGTTATTCGTTTATCTCACCGAGCGCGTTTCGGTCGGAGGTGCTTGTCCTTTTCGCCCGGTGCTTTTAACGTCTGCGAGTCACATTTTCCTGCGTATTGCCGTCCCTTGCTCCCAAAATGTGGCTATAAATACGTTTTTGGAACTGTAGGCCGGCCTGACCTAATCATGACTAATAAATTTGGCTTCGTCTTTAGCGCGAATGCGTGTTACTATAGTGTTCTGCCACCAAATTTCTTCGGCCATTTTCAGGTGTATGCCGTTTAGTCGAGGCACGTTATTCAGGTGTATGCCAGGTTGTTTACACGTTTCTCAGGTTAAATGATGTCTCTCGTAATTTCACATATGTCAAACATTATATATGTTCTGCTTGTGTAGGCTACAGTGGGTTAGCCTATAGGGGGTACACAATTCTAGGGTTTCCTACTTGTACTCATTTCACTGCTAGTTCATTCATTCCTGTTCGCTTATTCTCACATGGTATAGAGCGGGTCCTTCTACGGACCGTTTTTTTTGGGCCCACCGAAGCGCCCCCCGAGGCGCGATTTTTTTTAGCGACCCCTCGGGTCGTCATTTTCCCTGCGGCCCCGCCGCTTTCACTGACGCGGCCCCGCCGCCCTCTCTGACGGGGCCCCGCCGCCGGCCCTTACGCGGCCCCGTCGCCGGCTCTCACGCGGCCCCGCAGCAGGCTCTGTCGCGGCCCCGCCCCGGCCTTTACGCGGCCCCGCCGCCTGCTCTCACGCGGCCCCGCCCCGGCTCCTTCGCGGCCCCGCCGCCTGCTCTCGCGCGGCCCCGCCCCGGCTTCTACGCGGCCCCGCCCCGGCTTTCACGCGGCCCCGCCGACGGCTTTGTCGCGGCCCCGCCCAGGCCCTTACGCGGCCCCGCCGCCTGCTCTCACGCGGCCCCGCCCCGGCTCCTTCGCGGCCCCGCCGCCTGCTCTCGCGCGGCCCCGCCCCGGCTTCTACGCGGCCCCGCCCCGGCTTTCACGCGGCCCCGCCGACGGCTCTGTCACGGCCCCGCCCAGGCCCTTACGCGGCCCCGCCGCCTGCCCCCGTCGCGGCCCGGTCGCCTCCTGACGGCCCCGCCGTCCCTTCATGACGGCCCCGCCGTCCCTTCCTGACGGCCCCGCCGTCCCCTCCTGACGGCTCCTGCCGTCCCCTTCTACCGGCCTCGCAACTGCACCTGCTGGCCCCGCCGCTGCACCTACCGCCCCCCACCACCCACCCCCCCTTTTCCCGTCGCCTGTCGAGGCGACCTGAGGGGGCCGCTCAGCAGAGGGGTGGCAGGTGTGTGGCCTCCCCTGCTTCTCCTCCTCCTTCATCGCTCACCTGCAGCAGCCGAGCCGCCCCACCGCCGAGCCGCCCTGCACCCGAGCCGCCCAGCAGCCGAGCCGCCCTGCCGCCGAGCCGCCGGGTCGCTGAGCTGCTGAGCTGCAGTTGCTGCCGAGCCGCCCTGCCGCCGAGCCGCCGTGCCGCCGAGCCGCCGAGTCACCGAGCTGCTGAGCTGCAGTTGCTGCCGAGCCGCCTTGCCGCCGAGCCGCCCGAGTCGCCCGAGCCGCCGAGCCGCCGAGCTGCCGAGCCGCTGAGTCGCCGAGCCTACTCTTCCCACCACTGGTGAGCTCTTGCCCTGCTAGCACGCTCACGTCGCCTGCTTGCCTGCCTGCCTGCCTTTTGGCTTGCCTGGCTGCCTGCCTTCCTGCTGCTAGTCCTGCTCCTGCTTCTACTCGTGGTGGCGGCCAGATGCAGCTCCCGCGACCCTCTCGCGTGTCTCTCACGCCTCGCCAGCTTCGTGAGTGGTACGCTCAGAGTGGAGGGTCTCTCAGTGCTGTTCGCTGCTCTTACGTGATTCGCACTGGTACTCGGACTGGTCAGCCTTGTGGGACACGTAGTCATACACAGTCCCGCTGCTTCGCCCGTCTGAGCGACGCCTGGCGTACCGTGTTTGGCGACGAGGCTGAGCTTCCCGACTGGGTGGAGTTGCTTAGGCAGAGGGTAGATATATATGCTCTTGACTATGATGCTATTCTCACTGCCATGTATGCATTGCCTACTAGTTCTGACCGTGCCGGTCACCTGTGCGTCCCGCCTGACCCAGGTATAGGACCTGCTGCTCTAGCTACTGGTGAGGCTGCTGCTCTGGGTGCTAGTGAGTCTCCTGCTCCAGGTACAGGTGCGGCTGCTGCTCTAGGTGCTAGTGAGTCTGCTTCCTCAGGTGCGGGTGAGGCTGCGCTCTCAGGTACCGCGTTGGCTTCGGCCTCCCTCACCTTTACACTTGACTCTGGGGCTTCTCGCTCCTTCTTTCGGGACCGCACCACACTCACGCCGCTTGGTCGGCCGGTTGCTGTCTCCCTGGCTGACCCCTCTGGGGGTCCTGTCCTCGCTCACTTCTCCACTGTCCTCCCGTGTCCGGCTGCCCCCTCGGGCACCCTGTCTGGCCTGTACCTCCCCTCGTTCTCGACAAACTTGGTGAGTGGTGCAGACCTACAGGATGCGGGGGTTCACCAGTTCACTCCTGCGAGTCAGCGGGTGACCCACTGCACGGACGCACGCACAGGCCGGCACCTGGCCACGTTCTCGCGTCGGCCGGGGTCGAGCCTCTACACCCTGACCACTGAGTCTCCTCCTGTCCCCGCGTCCGGTCAGGTAGCAGCGTCGGGTCAGGTGTTTGCTGCTGCGTCCAGGTCTGGTCCTGAGTCTGCCCCCTGTTCGTGTCGCCTCCTGTCTCACGAGACTCTTCTGTGGCACCACCGTCTAGGCCACCCCTCCTTGCCCCGTCTTCGGGGCATGGCTTCCCGTGTCCTTGTCTCTGGTCTTCCCCAGTCTCTCCCTCCCCTTCCTTCGGGACCAGGACCTTCCTGTGTCCCCTGTGTCGAGGGGCGCCTCAGGGCTGCTCCTCACTCCTCCCAGTTTCCCCCGACAGAGGCTCCTCTGCAGACGCTTCACATGGACGTGTGGGGCCCGGCCCCCGTCCGTGGGCAGGGTCACGAGCGCTACTTCCTGTTGGTGGTTGACGACTACTCGCGTTACACCTCAGTCTTCCCCTTGCGCAGCAAGGGTGCTGTCACTGAGGTGCTGATCGACTGGATCCGCGAGGCTCGTCTCCAGCTCAGGAGGAGCTTCGGCTCGGACTTTCCTGTTCTGCGTCTGCACTCTGACCGAGGTGGGGAGTTCTCCTCTCGCCTTCTGCGAGACTACTGTCGTGCACAGGGGATCCGCCAGACCTTTACGCTTCCGGACTCTCCACAGCAAAATGGGATTGCTGAGCGCCGCATTGGCATGGTCATGGATGTCGCTCGTACGTCCATGATGCATGCGGCTGCCCCCCATTTTCTGTGGCCGTTTGCGGTTCGGTACGCGGCGCATCAGCTCAACCTTCACCCCAGGGTCTCTCGGCCCGCGATGTCCCCAGTGTTACTGTGGACGGGGAAGGTCGGCGATGCGTCTGCGTTCCGTGTCTGGGGATCTCGGGCGTTTGTCCGCGACTTGTCTGCGGACAAGCTGTCCCCCCGTGCTGCTCCCTGTGTCTTCCTTGGCTTCCCCCCTGACGCTCCAGGGTGGCAGTTCTACCACCCCTCCTCTCGTCGTGTTCTGTCCTCCCAGGACGTCACGTTCGACGAGTCAGTCCCCTTCTACCGCCTCTTCCCCTACCGTACTCCTTCCCTCCCCCCCCCACCGGACTTCCTGGTACCAGTTCCCCCCCCGGTAGACCCCCTCCCCCCTCAGGTTCCTGCCCCTTCAGGTGTGTCCCAGGTAGACACGGTCGAGCCAGTCGAGGTTGCTGCTGAGTCTGGTCCTGCCGCGGGTGCTGAACCTGGGGGTGCTGCTGCTGGGGGTGCTGAGCCTGGGGGTGCTGAGCCTGGGGGTGCGAGGCCGGGGGGTGCTGAGTCTGGGGGTGCTGAGCCGGGGGGTGCTGAGCCGGAGGGTGCTACGTCAGGAGCTGCTGAGCCTGGGGGTGCTGGGCCTGGAGGTGCGGAGCCTGCGCCTGCTGGACCTGGGGGCTCTCCGGTTCTTCCGTCTCGGCGGGAGCCGCTCTCTCCACAGGAGCTGCGCGAGTGGTTTGCTCGCCGCTGGAGGCGTGCTGCTGGAGCTGGAGCTTCTTCGCCTGCTGAGGGTGCTGCCGGTCCCGGAGCTGCTGGGCCTGCGAGTCCTACTGGAGCTGGAGCTACTGAGTCTAGGGGTGCTGAGTCTGGAGCTGCTGAGCCTGGAGGTGCTGAGTCTGGAGTTGCTGAGCCTGGGGGTGCTACGTCTGGAGCTGCTGTGCCTGGGGGTGCTGAGTCTGGAGCTGCTGAGCCTGGGGTTTCTCCTGCTGCTGCGTCTCGCCGGGAGCCCCTCTCTCCACAGGAGCTGCGCGAGTGGTTTGCTCGCCGCTGGAGGAGTGCTGCTGGAGCTGGAGCTTCGTCGACCGTCGAGGGTGCTGGTGCTGCCGGTCCCGGAGCTGCTGGGCCTGCGGGTCCTACTGGAG